GAAAAAATGAAAATCCGAAACGATCACTTTCCCTTCTTGGCTCCTCCACGTCCCCCTGACCTGGCACGCCCTTGAGGCGTACCAGGCTCAAGGTTTGGGCTCTTACAGTACAGGTTGAGGTAAGGAATTAAAAATGAATTCGACGGAGACAGATCTGCCAACTGAGCAAGACCGTCGTTCAGGTACACTCTGGCAGTGCGGGCCGCAGCCCACCGCCCTTGTACGAGCAACCTATCAAACGAACCGTGCTGGTTGAACCAAAACGTCGCCCCCCCCGCGACGTAAGCTGTAGGGTCTGAAATGCAGGTCGTTCAAACGCAGTGCCTCGTTGGCTTTCGTAAACATGGCCCTCCAGGCGTGTGGCTTAGCAGTTAAAAATTTTGACGGACTTGCAGACTGTTTCCATTTCCACAAAGATGGGAGGATTGAGCGGTCATGTAGCGTAACGCTCTCTGCTGCACCCTGACGGGCACCTCCCTTCGTAAGACCAAGGGACAGAACAGCCGGGCCCTTAGGTCCAGGAATGAAAATGTCTTTCGCCCGAAGGCTCAGCAGTTCTCCAGTTCGGAGCAATCCGAAGAAAGCAATCCTCAAGGAAAGGCCGAACTCTGGGCAGCCGTGGAACAGGGACCAACCGCATAAAGCATCAAGAATTTGCACCGTCATTGGAGGTGCCCTGTTGGGGATCTCCACCGTACTCCATGCTTTCAACAGCCTCCAGCTACCCGGGAGTTTCTTTTTGAGTGAAGGGTCGCGGTCTTGCAAGGCGGCCAAAGTGTTGTTAGCCACGGACTTTCCTTCTCCAGTCGCCCAGAGGTGCTCAAGGTAGTCACTGACAAGAGGATCTAAGTGAGCTTGCTGTTTTGGGAGAGTTAACCCCTCCCCTGCCATCCAGTCAAAGAACTTGTTGAGACTTTCGGTGTATCGTTGCCGGGTGCGAGGTTGCACAGTCAAACCCTTGAGGGATCCTAGTTTGTTGCGGACTTTCTTGCGCTCCTGTTGGCTTCTTCCTTCCATTACTTTCGTGGTTTTCTTCCCCATTTCTTTCGGAGTGGGCGGCGCGAAGGCCGATCCGCGGGGTTCTGGTGGGTATCCACATAACCCCAAACACCAACTAAACCACCTGCCAACTGAAGCGCTCCGATCCGACACAAGGTTCGTCTCAATCTCCGGCTTGATGACCTCCCCCGCGACAAGGCATGCAACACCACCAATGAATCAACTAAATGTAGGAAGCGGCATGAGCTGTCTGCCAGCTCCTTCAGCCGCCAGACCAGGGCCGTCTTGACAGCTCTCAACTCAAGGGCATTGATGTGCTCCGCGTCGCCGGTCCACCTCCAACCTGCAACGTCCTTCCATCGCCACAGCTTGCTGGGAATGGATGCTCTCAACCTATGGTAGCGAGCCGGCAAATCGGTCCCAAGCTGTAGCAAAATGTCCTCACCCTTGACAGAGATCTGCCCTAACAGACGCGACACCAAGCCTGTCTGCTCCTCTCCTGCTTTTGTAGTTTGCCTCAACGGTGGCCTCAATAGTAAACTGGACAGCTGTTGCTCTCGCCCTGGCGTCAAGCGCTTCACCAAGCATGCCAAATCCATCATCGGTAGCATACCTAAAGTCCTGAAGAGGCAGAACAAAAGATAAGCGACTACCGGTATGGACCAGCTATTCCTCAGGAGACTAAGGCGACAATCACTATGCTTCATGCTTCCCTCCAGACTCTTCACCATGCACCTTCTAGTATAGTCGAGTGGGAACCCAAGGATGACCTCTCTTTCCTTGATGGATGGCACACGAAGCTGACCTTGGCGATTGACCACGCAGTTCTCTTCGCGGTATTGGTAAGGCGGGAACCTATGTAGGTCTGCACTCCACCTAGCCACAGCGTCTGGCGGGCAAAGGGCCAACCCGGCAGGGCGGCGTCCTGGCACAGCGGAATGTCGAGATGTTGTAAAGGTGGGCAATGAACCTTGGGGCCGCGCCCGACGCCATCCTGGCTCGAGGAAATCTTGTTCATCAACTGTCACGTGCAACTCTATCTTCCCCTGCACTGGGAGAGTACCTTCCCTCCCCTTTACAACCCTAGCGCCTTCTAGCTCTAGGGGCTCCCAACTGCACCAGTACAGTCGTGGTCGTCTGGCCAAACTGACTCCTCCCGCGTCAATGCACCAAGGGACCGTCTCATAAGCTTCTGACATGGTGAGGCAATCGCGGGTGTCCATGGATGCCACATTCTCAATCAGACGGTGGACGGGGCACCACTTGAAATGCCGCTTCAGAAGCGCTTCGACCCTGGGAATATGTTGAAACAAGCATGATCGCACATCTTTCAGAGCCCCCTTTCGGTCGGAGTTTAACCCCGAAACACCTTGACACGGTGGTCCAGCACCTAACAAGATCAGGCCAACGTTGGCAAAACGCAACCTCCAACCAAGCACACACTCGTCCGTCACGTCCGCCACGTCACTCACGCAGACCACGTCCGGGAAGTACGACTCAACGACCCGATTCGCCTCGGGGGAGATCTCAACCGACACGTAACCTCCCACAGGCACCCGCAAAGCGTCCAAGGCCACACGCAGAGCACCGATACCATCAAACAACGACACCACAGGCACCTGGTCCATCTCTTCGGGCTCAACCACATCACCCCGGCATTCTGCCTGACATGCTGCGACTCCGAAAGGGCTAAGCTCCCTAGTGACACAAAGACCCCCGCCCGTGGTGGAGGCGTCACTCGCCGTCACTATCTCCGACGTCGTCAAGCGGAAGTCCATGTAGGCCAGTGGCGTCAGGGTCACGAAGCGAAGCAATTCTAGTGCCTACCGGCAAGGGCTTCTTCACCAACGGCCCCAGGGCCCCTAGCTCAGTTACCTGCCTCCATACAGCATTCAAGCCTGATAACAAGGGTCTCCGGAACATGGCAATGTAGACGAAGCCACCGCCAACCACCTGTAGCTCACGCTGAGATGCCCTGCCTGCGATACAGATCTCAACTGCCAACCTCACATACCTTCCCACCTTCTCCATCTTTGGTGAGGCGCGCCCTAGCTCTCCATCCACCCAAGCTCCTTGCACCTCTGCACGCACCTCCTGGGTAACCGCCTTCTTGGGATGTCGGGGTAGCCCCAGCGTTTGGTAAGTCTCACGCACAGCCAAACTCCACGCCGAGGGCGATCCCTTCAACATCTCTGCTGTCCTCTTGTCAACTTTACGCAACTCGTCATAGTTGTCCAGATAGACTCGAAACTGGTGCGACGCCGTGCTCTGATGTCGATCACGCCGGATCTCTTGCTCCTTTCCGGCCAAGTGCCTTTCTCCACCTAAAGCCTGATGAATCACTCGACGATGGACATGCTGAGCTATCGCCACCGAGTTCACAAAACCCATCGGCAAGACCCGACTTACAAGATGCCATCCACCTCCTGCATATCCTTCTGGGAGGCCCTCGGCAGGGACCTCCCGTCCAAACCCCATAAAACGGTGCCATTGCGGAGGTGTTCGGAAAAGATAGAAAAAACAACGTATATCTTCAGAAGAGGTCAAAAGCAACTCACCATCCTCCAAGACCGTTCCTGACATCCCTGTCACAGTGGGCAGGGTTGATGTGTCTCCCACCAGGTTACGGCAGAGAGCATTGGTCGGAACCAAATTCATGATCAACCGGCACACCTCAAACTCCTCACCTCTATCGTCGACTGCCTTCTCTCCCTTTTCCACGGCAAAAAGTCCGTTTAGTACAGGTCGACCCCCCACATGAAACAGGTCCTCACGTCTCATCACCCCACAAACTCCTCTCTCAATCAGGCCGCGGCACACCTCGGCCCAGTGCTCCTGGTTGACCATGATCGAGGGGGTCTTCCCGAGGCTTTGATCCTGGGGCGGAAGCAGGAATTGCTCGAAGTCTGTCACGTACGACCGAGTTCCTCCCTCACAGAAAGCTTCTAGATCCAAAGTTCCTACACCCTCGGGGAATGCGGCAGCCACCATCTTCCATTGAAATGACTTGGCTACTCGGACCTCCTCCCCTGAATAGTCAATGCCCTTGGTTGCAAAGAACTCCTGAAAGGTTATGGGAGGAAGGACAACCTCTGGCCATTCGCTGCACCTGATCACCTCCCTCAAGCGCACCAGGATCTTCTTCTGGATCTTTGAAACCCTCGTACTGGCACCTGTGGTCACCCCATAAAGGCTATTCAACCCTCGAACAAGAGCCTCCAATGCTGAGTCAACGGGTTCAGACCATCCCAAAGTCCCTGGAAGTGGAAGAGGAAAAATTCCCTCCGTGGACTGCCCGCAACGCGTGGTCTTCGACAACACCTCCAAGGATTGAGACAGTGCCGGACTCAGCTCCCTCAAACTGCTTTCTTTTTTGCCACATGCGCTTCGCAGGTTCTTCTGCCATGAGGCTGGGTGAATCTGCTCCGTCAAAGCAACTTCTCCACGGCACGGCGTCAAAGCCAGTCGCGGCGATTGGTTCCATGCAAATTGGGAGGATTTCCAAACCTCCCCTGTACCATCGTAGGGCTGCTCTCCAATCCAGGCTTGGCGCTGTCTGCGGTCCATACCTACAGATTGCTTACTCCTCACCTCAGACTGGGAGGCAGCCTCGGTCTCCCCTCCTTGGCCCGGCGGGCTTGGATGCTCGTTTTTGCCTCCGAACTCACCCCCAAGGTCATAGCTTCTATGCGTCTTTCCACTCTCAAAAGCCTTCTGGTAGCATTCTGTCAGCATCTCTTCGATTGCCCTGTCATCTTCTGTTTCCTTGTGACTCTCTCCATCCACTTGCCTCTGACCTCTCCTTGACTCATCTGCCCTCATTTGCTCTTTTCTCCTCACTTTTCTTTCCGTGCCTGTGCTCTCATCCTCAGATCCACCCTTCAATTCTCCTCTTTTGTTTTCTTTCCCCCTTTTCCTTTCTCTTTTCCTCTTCCCTTTTCACCTCCTTTGTGCTTGTATGATGGTTCTGAGGTTGGCACAGGCTTGCCACGTCCTTTGGGCTGATGGTCACCGTCTCCTCGCTGAGCCATGCCATAGGGCCGATTGCCAATGGAGCGGTTGCGAAATTCATCTCTCGCGCTTCTGGCTGCTTCGACCTGTTCAGCTGGTTCTGCAATACGGATCTGCTCTGCATTGACTAGCTCCAGCTGGCGCGAAACTGAAAAATGGCCACCGCGGAGGGTCGCTTCAAGCGACTTCGCACGTTGTACGAGCACGTCCAACGCAGCTGCCACCTTCCTTCGGAGCAGTAGATCCGAGACCTGAGCAACCGTCACCAACTCCTGCCAAAGCACCGGACTTGCAAGGGACTGGAGGTGTTGGTGCGTGTACATCGAGAACAATGGACTGAGTTGATCTCGCGACACGCTGTGCAACTCGCCTCGAGAAGAAAGGAGGTGTTCACGGACATTGTCCAACGCCTGAGCAGTCAGCGCACCTGGGCATTTTTCGCTCAGCCTCCTGATCCTCCTTGTCTCCTCGAAAAGCGGGCCTTCCTCCTCCGACCCTTTTTCAGTCTCGCTTGATGAGCTCGATGAGGACCCAGAACTGCCTGAGTCAGACTTCTTCCGCTTTTTGTCCTTCTTCTTGCTCACACGTCGGGCCTTCTTCATAAGACGTTTGCGCCTGGGTACATTGGGATCCAGGCATGTGTTGGTGAATAGGGCCCGCGCTGTCTTCTGCCCTCGCTCAAGCTCCTCGGTCTCTTCCTTTTTGGCAAGCAACTCATCGTACTCTTTCTCTGCTGTCCTCTCTTTTTTCTTCCTCTTTTTGCTCTTCTTCTCTGCGGCAGCTACAGGCGACTTGCTCCTCTCTTGCTGTCCTTCTTCTTTGGGAGGCTTGACACCTCCCCTCCCCTTGCCTCGGTCCATAGCCATCTCACGAAGTCCGGCCAACTCGTCAACCTCTCCTTCATCAATGGCCTTGGCAGGGACGAGGTTGGTATGCCAGGGCTTTGGTGCCACGGCTGCATCCCAAAAACCTCGGGCATGGAAGAACTTGTCACCTGTCATCAACTGCGGACAACCGGCAGGACACGCATGCACCGTCACTATCCTCGAGTGGCCTCCCCCAAAACGTTCAAGCACGCGGTCTGTCATTGTGCCGGTCAACTCAAATTCCACCTCCTCATCAGAGGGCTTCAAACCCTTGATTCGGCCTGCTATCTTGGCATGCGCCCCGTAGTACGATGTCTCACCAAGCTCAACGATGTCTAGCTCCTTCATTCTGTCTAGCGCCAATGAGGTCAAGGGATGATACTCTTCTGTCACCGGCTTATCAGCTTCTGCCTCTCCAGCCTCCGATGCCCGTGCAGGCCTCCTCAAAGGGCGCACCCGCGCCGGCATAGCTGCTGGTCGTCTCACCTTGGGAGCCATGACTCCCCTCACCACCTTCCACGAGTGTTCCTTCTGTCGAACAGCTCCTGCTTCGCTCTCTTCGTCACACCTTTGTTGGTCCCTTCACTCCACCTGGGATGATCGGAGTAGGGCACCGGGCCTCGCCACCCTCTACCTGGGAGCTGGTCTCGCCCTGCGGCAGGCGGGATCAGAGCGGTCCTAGGCGGCGGATGATCGGGAGTACGAGGTGAACGAGGTTCTCGCTGACTGGGACGAGGACGAAGGTATGGTTCCCTCTGGATGCCACTGCTCGGTCGAACTGCCTCTTGTCCTCCACGACTGTCCCTAGCCCTGGGAGAATGGTCCTCCCTTTTCTTCCTTCTGGTCCGTGAGCCACTCACAGATCTTGACTTGCTGTCCTTCTTTTCCCTGTCCTTTTTATCCTTCTCCCTCTGTCTCTGCGGGGTTCGGCTTCTTGCTTTCCTGTTCTCCTCTTCCTCCTTCTTTCTGGGCAATGCTTTGCTTCCCTCACTCTTCAGCACCTCAGCTGCCTTCTTCTGCACTTCCTTCTCGCTGACCTTTTTGCTACCTGATTCCTCTCCTGGATCCTCGGCCTTCTTTCTCTTCTCCTTTGAGCTCTCCTTGGGAGACGCCTCTCCCTTGGCCGCTTTCTCCTCGACCACCCTCTGGGGAGGCGCCCCTCCCTTCGACACCTCCTCCTCGTCCGACTCAGGGAACAGCCGGGCAATGGAGTAGTAGGCCGAGTCCAGGACCTTAGTGACTTTGGCCTCGGCTTCCAGGGTAGTAGGCAGGCGATCGCTACCTGCCGCCGCACGAAGGCGCTCAATGGACGCGCAAACCGTACACTGGCCCGCTAATAGTCGCCACTTCTTGCAGCGACCACAGGCCAGCATACCCTGTTCTCGAGCCCAAAGCTCCGTGGAAAGTGAAACTGATTCGTGTTTAGTTATGGGGGCATTTAACCATCCCAAGAAATCCAAAAAGGTTCCCAAAATTCCAGGATGCGTGGATCCTGACTCTCATACCAAGGCTCCAGCAGCATCCACTCCTCTTCTCCCTGGCGCACGCGCTCCCACGCCTTGCCGATCTCGGGGTCACTCACATCCAACCCCGAGCTGCCACGTGCACCCCCATCCGTGCGGAAAAGACCGCCGCTCATGAGGCCGTTTTCAGAGGTTTTTCTGCAGCGCGGCCCCTATGGCCCCTCTACCACGGCCTCTGGAGTCATTGCGACGCTGGTCACAGCGTATGCACTGGATGTTGGACAACTGACTCCTTCAGTTCTCTTGGGGTAAATAAGGATTAATTACCCCTTATCTACCTCTTCTTGTTTGGTACGGAAACCACTCTCAAGAAAGTTAAAGGTGATCCCCTTGTCCTGGGTATGACCATCACCAGATTGGATCCATCGGGCCTTGCTTCGGACTGGTCTTCCCAAAGGGCTGGGGCCAACACGGCGACACCCTGGTGATTCTGCGCACGAAATCGCTGTCCCGACTCTGTGAAAAGCTTTCATCGTCACTATAGTCACTGCATGCAGCCCCCGCATGCAGCCCAAAAGGTCGTTTGAGTAAGTCAAAGGGCGCGATGACTGTGTTTTATCATGGCCAACCCCCTCCTACGTGTGCAGTCTGATGCAGCCTTTCATGCACGTGACGCGTGAAGAATGACGCAAAACAGTCTGCCGCATGCCTTTTGTGGTCCTCCAATACATGGGCACCCGCTCAATCGGAAAACCCCGGACTTCCCGCTGGGCGAACTACGTCATTGAACGCCTATTCATTCAACTGGCCTGCTGCCTGCTGGCCCTACCGGGCTTGCAACTGACCCATTCAAAGGAGCATACTAAGGGGAGACCTTGTGTGTTTTAAAGAAAACTGCTGAGTGTCCTCGCTGGACACCGTCTCGAGGTGCAGATCCATGCCAGCACACTCCTTTCAGTTCACCCAGCAGGTGATTGGGGATGGGGATGGCGGTTCCCACCGTCCCCACCTTTCTTCAGACTCCTCGCGCGGTCCATTCTCTTCGACTGGTCAGCCGGTGCCAGAGCCCAGGTCAGCAACGGCCCGCCGGGGGGAACGAACGTGGACGCTTCGGAGTCCGGACCGTTCGCATAGACAGACATCCGGGTCACCTCAGTTGAGTCCCCGCGGTCCCTGTGGCCGTTGTCTGCCATGATCCGCCACGGCCGTAGGGCCGTAGTGGAAAAACCACTGGGTGGCTCGGGGAGGGAGGCTCTTTAACCTTGGGAGGCGCTCGAAATCATCCCATTCAAAAGCTACCCTTCCCGCGTTCACAGCAGTCCCATGGCACATCATGCACGGTCTATGATGATTATGATGCACACATTGTCTTGTTGATGGTTTCTGTGGGTATGGAGACATCGGCTTTTCTTCGCCCTGAAGGCAGGAAAGGGAGGATTCAATCACCCAAACAGGGCGAAGGTTAAAAATCCGGCAGGATCTAGCTGCTGCCGCACGGTGAGACGGATTTGGTCGGTCTGGACACCAAACTCGTGGGCCAATGGTCCTTCGAGTGCGCAGCGGCCACAAAACCTTTGGCAGCTATGTTCAGGGCTGCATAGTTCATTCAAAAACTTCCATCTACTAGTCAGGTAGTCATGGAAAGTGTCAGTTGATATAGGACCTGCCAGTTCCCAAACAAAACTGCCCTCTTGAACTGCCAAAGGTCTTGATGGTGGCGCAGGTGCTTTCTTCGAACAGGGCAGCTGGGGGACGAAACCATGCTGTCCGGAGCCGCTGGGAAAACGCAGCAGCAGAGAAGGCCTGAGCCCACTCGTGCCGACGTCACAACTGGATCTTCGAGGAACGAAAGAAGCGCCGCATGCTGTCATAGTTCCGATGGCCTGACCACGACGCTGGGCCGAGTCCAGCGGCGGTTTGGGGCGGACGGGACACCTGGGGACGTGGGACGTGGGGTCCCTGCCGAGGGTGACCTGTTTTTCTGTTCGGTGGTGATGTCCAGTTCAGTCCCTAACACCCCAATGGGACTTGACAATCCGACACGACACATGAAACACCCCGCCGTGGATCCAGGGAAACTCTGGTGGGGTGGTGTCCTTTGCGGGGGAGGGAGGGAGGGAGGGAGGGAGGCGTCAAATGGTGGACCATTTCCGCCAGCCGATCCCAAGAACGCCAGAAGTGCTGCACTATACAGACAATGCCACCCCCTGCCCCAAGAACTGGAAAAACACCCGAGGAACATGTAGGTACAGTAGCCAATGGTGCCACATTGACCTATATGCTTCCAAGACTGGAACCGTAGACTTCGAACGAAACCCGCTGTTTCCTCAAGTATACTGCTTTTCAGGAGCGCTTGGGGGGAGAGGTGCCGGTCACGAACACGCCCTCCGGCCGTGAATCGAGGCGAAGCCACCACCACGGTGGTCATCGTCCCACGTGCATGCGCATGCGTATTCAAATCGGTATACCAGCTGCTTCCAGTCCGGGTCACCTGGCTGGACAACCCTACTAGCCTAGGTCTCCAGACAGGGCACCCAGACAGGAAGTGCTAGGTATGTTAATAGTTTAATAGTGTTTGTTTCAGTGTGTTTCAGTTGCCCGTTCTTGGGGCGTTCTCACCACCTCTCATGCCAATCTCCACCTCTCCCAGCTCCTTCGGCTTAGCTCGTTCGCTTAGCAAGGCGCTTTCGTCGTGGCAGCAGCCGCACTTCTCGCCGAAGAGGCATTCAGATTGGAAGTGGAAGTAGCAGGGAACACCTCAGCTGAAGTCGCATGTACAGAACTTCTGTCATCCACCCGAAGTGACTTGGTCATCCGATGGTGTTGCGACCGATGCACACCCCCCACGCGTGGCGCTGGAAAAGCGCACTCATGGCTGCCACCCACCCGCCAGGAGTCCGGCATTTGGAGTCGTGGTCTCTACCAGGACCCTCCTGTCGGGGTGCCCAATGGAAGCCTATATAGATAGTGTGGGGTAGTTCATTGGACACCCCGACAGGAGGGTCCTGGTAGGTTCCTGGTTGGGATGGATGGATTTTGCGAAGTGAGGCTCACTCTTAGATACTCTTAGCACCTCTCCGCTGGCTTTCCCTTTCAGATGGACTCTCCGAGAGGGCGTTGCTCCTTTGACAGGCTCCCTGGACAGGCTCCGCGGGTCCTCTAGCTCGTCCGCCGACCGCTATTCACCGAACCATCTCCTCTCGACCGGGAACAGCCAATTCGACCTGGGCTAGAAATCAGCCAACACAGCAGTTCCATGTCGGAATGGAGTGGATGGGATATGATGGGATACGTTCGGCGCCCTGATCCTCCCAGTTCAGCAACCCCGACAGACATGGGACTGCTGGTCAATGGGGGATGGATCCAAAACCTGGTGTCCTTGCCCACGCGAACGACCAACTCAAGTCTCCTGGATTGAACCCACAGCCAAACTGAATTCGAAGTATCCTGGGGGCTCCAACCACCTCCTCTTCGTGCTTGGGGTAGGTTTTGGAGGTCTATATAACTATCGAACTACCTTCTGACAATCTGCTTCGAGCCCAAACATGCGCCCTGACCTCTCGCCTGCACCTGCTTTCCCGTTTCCTTCACCGCACCGTCGTCCCAGCCGCAGCTTCCAGCCGCATGGCTTCGAGCTTGGCTCGTCGGCTGTTCCCTGCGCGGCTCGACGCTGCCCGAGGCTCCACACGGCCCGACGGACCGATCCAAAACCCAAGGTAGGACGCTTCCATCAGCAGGAGCCCGGGGTTCTATATGATTCAACCGGTCAAAAGCCAATCATTGCAGTTGTAATCTATGTTCTGTGTCATGTTGAGTTGTCCTAGGATCATCTAGGATCATCTAGGATCTAGAGGATGCAAATGGACTCATGGACACGCTCTAGAAGACGATCTTTCAAACCCTTCTCTGGAAGATGTATCTTTGGCCTGGGTCCCTCACGCCGAATCTTGGAATACGATGGTTGGTGCTAATTGTTTCTTAAACTGCCGAATTCTCGTGCTCCACCTACCACACACCCCGGTAATTGAGCCAAAGATGTAGAACAACTGGACTCTTGCTTCATCATCCCTCCATTTGGACCCCCTGTCTGGCCCTTGGTCTTGCTCCGTCACCGCCTCAAAGACCAATGGTCAGGCCTGGAGCCACGCGCTTTCCGCCCGCCCCCCCGCCGGAGCACCGAAGATCCGATCGACCCATGGCAGGGGCCGCGAAAACAGAAGCGACTGCAGCACCCCTAGAAGTCCAATGTTGCCCCACTGAAGTAAAGCATATTCCTTGACTCGGGTCACCTACTGACCATTCTTTTGATAGTCTTTGACTCCCAGGGGAGTATCGATCGGTTGAAGCATGCCGCTAAGCTTGAACTTCTTGAAGCATATACCAGCTGCTTCCAGTCCGGGTCACCCGGCTGGACAACCCTACCCTACTAGCCTAGGTCTCCAGACAGGGCACCCATTGGAAGTGGTAGGTGCGCAAGTTTACAGTACAAATACGTTCACAACTGGGTACTGTAACTTGTGCAAACGGAAGCCATCAAATGATCCCGGGCTTTCTGTCTTTTCGGCGGTCAGCCCACCAACCACTGATCCTCTTCACAACTTGTCGTTGAAAGTCTGGATTCTCGACCGCAGATGGAATGCCAGCCTAGAGCCTCAAGGGAGATCAAAGGGGGCACCGGTTTCTTGGAATCCCTTCAGGGCAGCATCGGCGACCTACCTTGCCAGACATGCCGCGCCACATGGTCAGTCCCTCCAAATCCGACACGCCCGCCCCACGCGACGCCCGGCCGTTGGAGCGCGTCGGCGAGCATTTGCTCCCCGGAGAGCCCCACACGTTCCTCGGTGGGAAGAGGCTTCGAACTCAGCGCGGCCGAGGTCTTCAGACCTCCCCCGCCCCATGCACATCTCACCTGCTGGTGTTTTGGTTTACCTCGCCTGAACCGAACGCCTTTGTATTCCAAGCACTATATAGTGGGGACCATGTCATGGTTCTTTTTTCTGGGGTGTGTGGGAAAAGTGATCCACATCAAACCATCATCTCTTCGCTGCATGTCCCTCTACAACGTCTCGTGTCCAACTCACCCAGATGTCCGCCCCTTCCACCTCTGGCCGTTGGGATGACCACCAAGGGGCCATAAACTGCTCCTCCGTTTCTTCGTCGCACGCCGCGTTGGCCGCATCCGACTGGGCGGGGAGCGTGTGGGAGGAGCGTGGGAGACGTGCGGAGCGTGTGGGAGGAGCTCCAGGCCGACCTAAGTGGAAGATAATGAGTGGACTCCCAGGGTGGCGTTTGGTCACTAAGTGAGTGGATGTTCTGGGCACCCCTGACCTCCATGGATCGCACCCCTTTGTGACTCCTGATCCTTTTCCAATTCCTTTCAAAAAGCCTTGAAGTGGATATAACTTATAAGTGGATCATGACCAAAGATGTGGTCTCCTATATATGAGTCCACTTGCACCATGTGGGCAGTCCATCCGTCGCTTCTCTCCGGCCTTACCCGACCGGTTCGTGTCTTCCACCCGCGGACGGACCGCGCTGAGGTCGGCCGCGCCTCCGGCTTCTGCGGACGGACCTGGAGCGAAGGCGGACCGCTGCAGGTGGCTTCGGTCCGTGGAGAGTGAAGGAATCCAACCTGAAGTGCCCCACCCCCCATGATGAAATTGCTTTGAAGCCATTACTTCTTCTGGCAGATCCGGCACTGATTCACACTGCACTGCAGGAGCTCGCGCCAGCCAACTCCAGGAATTTCAGGTCTCCAAAGATGCGCTCCCCTACAACCGCGAGGACGAATGTGACATACCCCAACACCGCCAGGAGCACATCCAACCAGGCTTGCTCCGGGGTGGCGCCAGGCGCCGAGGAAGAACCAGCGAGCGCCTGGGGGAAAGAGCCCGAGAAGAACTGTCGGGCTCAGGAAAGTACTACCCCTAGACCCTAGAAGTCAAAAGACCCATATTTTGATCCATCAAAGTAAAGGAAAACTTATACCAGCGTAGACCCCAAACAGTTTGTGCGTTTATGAAGTTAACCACAGAGACGAACTGTCAAACCGTCAACGGCTCAAACCGTTTCAGCTCGCGGTGATCAACTCGGACCTTCTGGGCTTGTTTCAGCACTTGGCTCAATTGGCTCAAGGTCACAACCGACAATTCAGACGAAAATAGAACGCAAATCTACTGAATATGCTGAGCATGCGGCCAGAGCACTCAGAGCATCCAGAGGTTACTGGGAGACAAGTGGGAGACAAGTGTGAAATCATGCGGCCAAGCTTTCTGGGAGACAAGTGGGAGACAAATGGGAGAGACAAGCCTGAAATCATGCGGCCAGAGCACTGAGAGCATCGAGAGCTTACTGGGAGACAATTGGGAGACAAGTGGGAGACAAATGGGAGACAAGTATAAAATCATGCGGCCAGAGCACTGAGAGCATCCAGAGCTTACTGGGAGACAAGTGGGAGACAAGTGGGAAACAAGTGGGAGACAAGGGTGAAATCATGCGGCCAGGAACACAAGCCCGGAGACAAACTCAAAATCATCCGGCCCGAGCATGCGCCCCATTAAAAGGAGTAAGAACCCCTCACAGGTAAACCTGTTTGGGGAAAAACATCCAGTATGCCATGAAACTCCTTTTTCGGGTCGCCCAGTCGGACCATTTGTTGTAATGGTCTTTGACTTGCAGGGCTCTGCACAACATGCGTTTCTTGGGCCAGTCTTCGTTCTTTTGTGATAAGCGCGTGGGAAATCGGGTAGTGTAAAAACCCTACACGCAATGTAAGGTTTCATCTACGTTACTTTCAGGCCCTCCAAAATAGCTATGGGGCTTTCTTTCAACAGCTAAATCGTTCCAGATCGTTCCAGCATTGTTTATGAAAAGGTGTTCAATTTGGAACGTCATTTTTCGCATTCCTTTTGGGATGCGGGCATGTCATCGTCCGCCCCCTGACCTACTCCTCCCAACTCCAACAAACTCCACCACCCAAATCCGTTGACTGGATGGTTTAGTACTCGATCCGAATCCAGTGTGGAGTCTACATGACTGTAGGAGCTTTGCGCTCCAGGAACCGGTTCAACGGAATCATCACGATTTCCTGGCCCACACCATCGATGTCTTCGCCTTGGTCTGTGCTGCCCCAAGAACCATTCTTGTTACGATGTGTTGCGTATTTGACGCGCACAAGACCAAAACTCAACCATATCCTTAAGACTTGCCTTCTTGGATCTTCTTGGGACTTCCAAGGCATAGGGAGCCGCGCCGTGGAAACAAGAGACGAGTCCTTCGACACCACGCTCGCGGGACTCGGCTGGGGCGGGCACTGCGAGAGCTTCGTCGCCAGTCGTCCGGGTCCGCGAGCTTCGCGGTGCAGATCCTGGCGATCAGAACGACCAACGACCAGGTGAGTGCAGGTTGAATGAGAGGTTTAATGAGAGGTTTAATGATTCAGGCTTCATCTGGCGTCTGGCTTGAGAAGACGCCAAGAACATGAGAAGTCGAGTTCCGATTGTTCAGATGGTTTTAACATCTAAGGATGGCCTCATTTGGTGGATTTGATGGGATCGAGGTGGCTCAAACAAACATTTCGAGTCGACTTCGCCGACTTTTGGAGTGGTCTAGAGTCTGAGGATCCATTGGACCATCAGCCTCCACCTTATTGGATCATCTTTATTGGTCAGAGCCTATCCCCTATACGACTTAACTCTTGATCTCCGGACTTTTGCATGTTCTCTCGTCTTTGTCTCTGGAAGAAGCGTTGACCCAAGTACTGCAGGGGCTCCGCAGGGGCTCCGCTCGGATCCCCGCGACCGCCTGGCTCGGGCGCCCGCTCGCCTGGAGCCAGTTGCGGATCCCCGGGCCGTGCCAGGGCCCCGTTCCGTACCAAGTCCAAAGAGCCAGTAAAACCTGTTGCTTTGGCCTCCCTTAGGTCATGTTTTTGGTCTGACCAACTCCAGTGAGGTCATTGACCTGCAGGGGTTTCGAGTGATCCCCAAATGCCTAGGGCTCCAGTCGTACCTTCTAAGAGATAGTAGTCTCGTTGCCCAACAGTGCCTTGGGTGCGAGCTGCAAGTGTCCACTGGATGCTGAAAGGGATTTTGCTGTTCTGTCTGTGACAGGGGGTCCATTTTAGGAGATGTTAGGGACCCATAGACTATGGACCCCATGGACCCAATGGACCTCCAAGTCGGTCGCATGGATTGGAACTTCAGCCCCTTAACACCCTGCGGCAAACCATGTGGCCGTAATTAGGTCCAAACCCCGGCCCAAAACCCTTGCACTCTGGTAAGTTGACCTCCCCAATCCCCTGAGCTGTTCCTTTTCTGTGGTCGACCCAGGCCCCGGTGGTGTGGACCCATCGCCATCCTCGAGGAATCCATCTCGATGCCTCGCTCGGCTGCAGGTCCCGTGCCTCCATCGGCCTCGTGCCGCCCCGCGCTCCCGCGACTCCTCCGAGCGCGCGCGCCGCTCGCGCGAGCGGAGTGGTGCAGCGTGAAGAAGATGGGAAAGGAGATGAAAGAAGCTCTGCCAGCAGTTCCATTGGAGTTGGGTGCCGAACTTGGAGGATTTCAGGGTGCCCCAAGAACATCTACTCACTGGATGGGACTGGGACTGATTAAGCCCTTCCTTTGGAACTGGTGGTGAGCAGCTCATGCGTTGATAGAAGATGATAGGAGTTTTTGGAGAAAATGAGGGTTACTCTTCAACTCCAATGCCTGCTCTTGGCCCAACTCAAAGGGAGAGAACACTGACTCACACTGAAACTCACCTGGTGTCTTAGATTCATTTTAGGAACTTTCTTCAAAAGGAGCTAAGCAGCTAGGCTACTTTTTAGCATTGCCACTGACCCATTGTTAGGCTACTTTTTAGCATTGCCACTGACCCATTGTTTCGAGGTGCTGGGGAAGAGAGGGTGAGAAAAACGCAACAAACATGTTGTATCATTTTGTCGGTAAAGTAGGCGCTTCAACCCCTCAATCCATGGCATGATTCTGCCACAAAAACGTCAGTATCGTCAGTATTGGAAGAGTGTGAAAACAGGAGTTCAAAAGAATTTTAAATCAGGAGTTAGTTCTTTTTAGTAGCTGACTTTCTGGTGCCCCTTCGTAGAATAATTAAATCGGGAGTGAATTGTATGATATGGTTATGATATGTGTGGAAGTAACTTCTGTTTTATTTATTGTTGGAAGGTGTCTTTTCAGAAATCTGGCTTGAAGACGTTCTAGACAAGAATTAAACCAGGAGTTAATGATGTTAGTGTGGGTGTGTGTGTGTGCGCGTCGTCCTTCCCAAAGCCAGGCCGCGGGACTGCATGGTTCCAAACCAGGTTCTGCAAGGCTAGCCTTTTTTTGTTGCCTCTGTTGCCAGGCCAGCCAGGAAAGAATCAAACCAGCAGTTTTGATACAGACAGATACCTGTGGAAGACGTAGTACCTAAAGTTTTAAACCCGGAGGAATTAATTTCAAACTCCTCTTTCTACGCCTTTTCGTCACCATACCCCCCACTCAAGAAAGGACTCAGGCCCCGCAGTCCTGCTACTGCTGGCATCGCTGTCCTTGCCAGAGCAACAACCCCCGCTCTTCAGTGTCCATGTGCGAGTCCGGATGCACCAAATTTGGTGCTCTTGATTATTAAACCCCCCCCAATTTGAATTGGAACATCCTCTTCATATGGGGGGGTGAAGTATATCAAGAATCAAGAGTCTACCAGGCCAAGGGGTGAACTACAGATGTTCAACTCGAACCTGTTTGGGAGAAGACTACTGATGCCCAGTCCTTGCTGTAGTTGCTGGGCAGCGAATTGCTCCTCCGCGCGGAGCCCTCCTGGCGTCGCTAGGTCGGCGCGGAGCCCGCCTTGGGGCGGTCCGGACGTCACTGGCATAGCTTCGACGTGCAAGCAGGGGTAGCTATGGACCCATATTTGGTGCGCAGCGTGTGGCTTCTTGCAAAAGGTATTAAACGGTGGATTTCCCGCTGGGATCAAAGTGAGTCCTTGGAAGTTCTGGGGTTCTGAACAGTTCTGAACCACTTCTCCCTAAGAACCCCCTACACAAAGACTGGATCCCCCTACACTCTGACTACTACGACACGCCCTAGTCCTATCCTACGCTCCGGTTCACCGATGGATCTGTCGTTTTGGCGTCCTCCTTGTCATCCACCTGCACGTCAAGGAAGGTGTTGCGGACCTCGGGCGCAACAGAAGCTCGCTCCGACCGCTCGCGCGGCGTCTGGCGAAGTAGCCTCCTGCCGGGGGCGCTTCGTTGTTCCAAACGGTCCCCCCAAAAAGTGCAGGAGTTTTGGGGGATGGGTTGGGCCAATCTGGAGGTGGGCTTCATGTAGGCTCAGCCATGAGTCCTATTCGCCCCAACCATCCGCTGCCTTCGCGGAGCGCGCTATTCACCAGTGGCCGGCGACCTGCGGCCCGCAACCAGGCGTTCCGCACACGGAGGGAGGCCCAAAGGTCAAAGGCCACGCCCTGGACAGGGCACGGAGGCACGTTCCCCCGCGCAACACTGGGGTGCAACACCCGGAGTGGAAGCCTGAAATCATGTGGATTCAAGGGCCGTGTGCACGGCCATGTATACGGTCATGTGGGCTTTTGAGCATCGCCATATGTTGGTGCTCGAAAATTTGTATGATTCAGGTTCTAAGTAGTGACTGAAAACTGTACATAGTTAGTACTATAATATTATATATATATATATATGTCAATATCACCGTATGTATATAGCAAGTCCTTCTAACTGTCCGAATTGGCCACCTCCATCCCGGAGCATTTTTCGGCCAATTGCCACAGGAATACCCCAACCACAGGTTGGGTGACCTTCTCGTTTTGGCCGATTCTCGCCCGAAGTCGAGTTCTGGGTCCGCCGTACCCGCCGTGCCCGAACCCCACGCGGTACCCGGACGCGGTACCGTGTTCTACGCGCGCCTCTTCTCTGCTCGCCAGCGGCCGCATGGGACGGAGGCCGCTCCAAACCCCGGGGGCCGTGCTGTGGGGATGGAAGAATAAGGCTCTGAGGGTTTCGTGTGGAAGGCTGGAGGCCAGAAAGAACCAAGCATCCCAATCTGTTCCGGGATGTTCAGGAACCACTTCAGGAACCCCAACAATGGATGAAACGGAGCCGGTGTTACCTGTGTGTGTGTGTGCCTGCTGGCCCAAACAGGAAAGGACCATGTCTTGCGAAAGCATTTGAGTCATGGGGGAACGCCATGTCAGACGACCCGGTCGACGCGGCATCTGAGTCTAGAAAAACCCACCACCAATGTGTCCTCCTTTCTCTCGTGGGTATGGAACCACCCAAGTTGAACCACTTGAACTTCCAGCTTGGTCTCAAGATGAGTCAAGAGTTTCTGCTGCTTGCGTCAGGAAGCGAAGTAAGCGGGACCCTCTCATGTCATCCTCTTTCCATGCCTTTCCCGTGACAAAGACTTCATGGAGCCCAGCTGCAAGGCAAACAGCGCTTGAGTTCAAACCCTCGGCATATCATCACCCCCAACATCATCCCTCTGCTTTGAGGATACGCGGTCTGAACGAATCAAAAGCGAAAAGAGCCCCTCACACTTTCTACAGGCCTCTACTCGAAAAAACACATAAGCGGCCACTGCATGAGGCGTGGAGGCGTCTGCCCAAACGTTCACTTCCCCCGCGACCCCGCACCTGTCGACACCTTCTTCTCTTCCCGAGCGTCGGCTCGACGCGGAGCTTTCGCGGCGCTTGATTCGGTGAAACGCGGAGCGGAGCGGCAGGGAAAACACGCGGAGGGAGGCGCAGCACATGGACGTGGACGGACAAGAGGGACAACTTCAGGTCTTGGCCCTAACATGCCTTGTACTTGGAAGAGAAACAATGTGGGTGCGCGGAAGAGTCCAGTCCAAAAACTAGAGAATCTCCTGGAATGGGTGCGCGCGTGTGTTGAAATAGGGAGACCTCCCAGTTCGACCCCCTGGAAGAAGGAGCGTAGACCAAAACCAATTGGTTAGGGGTCCCTCCTATAAAAATGCACATCCAAATCACCAGAGAGAGCAAGACCTCTGCGAGTTTGCGGTGCTTATCATAAGGCTCCTTCGACCAAACAGCCCGGTTTTGACCCCCAACCAAGTAGGCGGTCCAAGGACTAGGTAGACTTAGGACTCCCACAACTCACAACCAGCACCCAACCCCTCAGGACCACCACGGTCACCACTTATATAAGTCTCCCAAAGCCAAAGAGTAGAGTCGGGTGTTGGTGATGATAGAGGGCCTGAGGTGCAAGGCCAGTGATACAAGGATTGTGGTGCTCTTTCGCGTCGGCTGCTTGCCTAGAGGGACAACATGGTCAAAAGATGTCAAAAGCCAACACGGGTAACACAGATAGTACGCATTAGAAGAAGGGAGACCTCCAAAGACTGTGAAAGAACAATTGCTTCAATACATTGCTTGAGTGGTCCAGCTATTTCACCACACCCATGATGGTCACCCATGCCACACCTATATCTACTCTTCCAAACGGAAGACAGTCATCCTCTCTCCATACGTCCACGCGTCCACGGCAAATGTGGCACTCAGTCCCCTCAGCACACCGTGGACACTCCGACAGCAGAGCACCGTGGACGCTCCGAAGCTGATTTCTTCAAGATCCCTGGGCAAACCTGGCCTGAAGCTACTACGTGCACAACTGGAGGGCAGTCAATTTTCTTGGCATCAATGCCAATATATGCCTTTCCCTGCCAAGGGAGCTCTACCAGAGTGGTTGTAGAACTCTCCATGCATGCAGACTGTTGATGAATCAAACCCCCTTCGTGTGAATTGTAAAACCGTCTCCACCAATGTAGACTCTTGATGAACAAAATGCTCCCATATTTTGATTGTCAGACCTCTTCAATGCAGGGTCTCATTCATCGCGATGTCTGCATTGCATGGACCCCCAGAACCTACCATGAAAAGATCTGTCTCTCCCCCAAAAACGATCCACCATGGTTTTGATGGTCCACCATGATCCACCAAAAAACTCACCAGGATCCACCACGAGGAGCCACCCCATCATTTATCCAGCCAGTGCAGCCACTCGCCTGGACGCACACCTTCACCGGTGTCAACTGCCAGTGCTTCACCCATCTTGGGGAAATTGAAAGACCTTAAGGAGGGTGTCCTCTCGCTGCCTCTCGCTCTTTTCCCATTGGTCACATCTTCCTTTCCAACGTCCGGAAGCCCGGTCCCGCCCGCCCAGCCGCCCAGCCGCCCGCGCCTCCGCCACGGCTGCGGCTTCGTCCTTCCTCGCGGATCCAAACCTCGGCGGGGCGCGGGGCGGTTCGGTGTTTGGGGTTGGGGACGGTGCGGGGCGGTGGTTCGAAGACTGAAGGAAGGTGGGAAAACCGCCACCTGCAAGAGATCTTAGAGCTCCCAAAATACCCAGCTCTCACCCCTCGCCACGTCTTCGGTCCTCTTCGTGATTGTTGGGGGCGGAAGGTGGGGGCGGAAGGTGGGATCAAAGGTTCTCCTTCTTCTCCATGTTCTCCCAGAATTTCTCCCAGCTGATGCTGCCCTGCCCATCTGCCTTCTTGGCGGGGGGGTCGCTTCGTCTCCGTGAGTCCGCAAGGATGTGTGTCGGTACAATTAGGGGAAAAAAATGCGATGCAGTTGGCATACCAGCTGGCTGCTTTCAAAAGGTTCAAGTGGCAGAGAGCCGGCTCGCATTCTTGGATGGTTATTCTGCATGGCCTCGTTAAGAAAGCCTGGTATGGCTCTTGGAATTGGTGGCTCTGCCAGGAGAAACCCCACAGTTAGACCCCAACAACCAGTTGGTCCAGCCAGCTGGCTCTGGTGGACTAGCTGTGGCATGATTCCCAAAGCGAAGCAACCAAAACAAACACAAGAACTGATGACCGCCCTCAGCCCCATCAAACAACAATTGAACAATGAACAAAGAATTCGCCAAACCCCCCCCAACTGCAAGGTTACTTGCTCAACTCGTCGGGCTGGTGTGGGGAAGGCCCTCTCCCTATCCTGCCCCGTGCGCCCGGCCGAGTTATACTTCTTCCGCGAGCGAGACCTTCCGCGGCGTTGCTCGAATGCCGACTTGAGATGGACCAGGTATAGTGTTGAGCTCCCCCAATTGAAGAAGGCGCGATGTCTGTCATTCATATAGTGGGAGAAGGCCAACCCTAGTCCATCAGCTTCCAGAGTGTCACGTGGCCCAAACCCCCTCATCTCCAAGCAAGCCCGTTCTCCCAAGAAAGGGAAGAAACACTCCCTGAAAAGATCATGGAAGTCCTGTGGAAATGGCCCTCTTTCTCTACTAACTGGGTGACTTCCACTTCCTTCCATGATTGTATATGAGGGAGTGTAATCAAGGGTTCCACACACTTCATTGAGCCCTATTGAAATACTGGGTTTGTTGTAGGGGGATTCATCTCCCCAGTCATGCTCTTGGCAAAAAGCCTGGATGTGCCAAACACTAGTCACTAGATTCACTAGATGACACGCACTATAGATGACACGAATGCAACACATAAGTCTGACTTCGTCCAGGACACGGTAGCAGGAGCGAGCCTCCCTCTTTTTCGACGCATCTGTCTCAGACTTAGTTTGAGGGGAAATCATCAAGCATCTACAATCTATACAGGAAACCCATAGAATTCCATGGGGTGCCATGAAAAGTTGAAGGACTCTCACTCATGATGTTCCAGATTCTTCCCCTAAAAACCTCACTCCAAACACCGGAAACCTTCTTCGGACTCCAACACCTCGGAAGCCGCTCACTCCAGACACCGGACGCGCCCCCACACCGCCTCGACGGCGTCCGCTTGCGGGGCCCGCCGAACTCGGACCGCCGGAACCTGATGGCAAAGGGGCTGCTCCACACGCGGAGCTTCGGGGCGCAGAGCTGGAGTGCGCAGACTGGCGCCAAAGCAGTGATGATTTGGCCTTTTGAGCCTGGATGGACATCCAGGCTCTCGCGGCTTTTTCTGATCATTTCCTATGCCAAAAGAAGCAACATGGGCACTAGTTCATACCATTCCTGCTTCCACCACATGTTGTGTCTTGCGCTCCGGCCCACGTATATAATGGTGTTTGTCCATAAAAGGGCCGCAAGACCGCTATTTGATGCTTACGCGGCTGGATCGCTTTCTGTTGATGGACTTGGTACTGCACGTACGATGGAACGCTGGCTTCAGATCTACCGGGCGGCACAAAGTAGCTCTTACCAAAAGGACACCGTTTTCGAGGTCCCTTTCTGCGATACACGACTTCCAATTGAGATCTACCTCTTGGATTCCCATGCATTGGTGTACTATTTTCTTTGCTTTTCTATCGTATATGTATATGCTTCCTTTGACGCCGCAAGGTACGGAAGACACACCTGGCAATGACCCGAAGCCCTGTCGGATACGGGCACACGAACGCACGGACGTTGTCAGTTCTTTTGCGAGTTGAAACGAGCGTTTTCGTTAAAATTAGGCCAGGTAGTGGACATACCCAAACCATCCATGGGACTGGAAGAACTACAAAAACAGGGTACATCTATGCAACTCTTCTGTACAAGGATGGTCTGGGACCAGTCCGGGCCCATGACGGCAAAAGGATACGAAAAGGCCGAGTGGGCACAAGCGTGGGTGACACCATCATTCCAGTCTCCTGCAAGCCTTGGGAGCCCACTCCACATGTCGAGCGTTTTAAGGCATCTTAAGGGCAACGGGTGTTCTTTCCCTTGTGGGAGGGGTCCATCTCTCATATTCCATCATCATATTCCACTCCAATCGATTCACCCATGTTCACCCTTTTGTTGTTTTGACTTTGCAGCTGTTCGTGGTCTGAGACCGCCAGCCTTGCATGTTCACCCTAGACCTCTCAAAAACCCTAAACCGCTACTCCCACCCCTCCAAATCCCACCCCATCGTCCGGGCGCATCCCCCGGTGCCGCCCCACCTCCGCTTCATCTCCGACAAGCGCCGGAAGTGCTCGGCGACCTCCCCGGGCGAGTGCACCCGGGGGCCCTGGCCGCAGAGTGGGAGTGGGGAGCTCCCAGTGGAGAGGGGAGGGTGGAAAGACACTCCATAATGGGTGATCATGGTTACGGTGGATGTGGAGGAGGTCCAGGAAAACCTGTTTTTGTAAAGGACCAGCGGCTCCTTCCAAGGGGTCTCAAAGTCCCTGTGGTCCCTCCGCCCTTCAAAAGCACGGTTGGCATCGGTTTGCACCGTTCATTCAACATCCTTCCACTGACACTGGGAGTGCCACCACCAGGCCCAGCCGCGCATCCAAACAGGTCAGGCGCAGCGGAAGGGTCGGCCAAAGCAGCACGCAGGCTGATGGGATCCTGGTCGCACGGACTGGCTGCGGGGCGGAGCGGCTTCGATGGGAAGAACAAGACAGATTGGAAGACCTCTTATACCAGCAGTCACAGGTCGGGGTGCTTAATGGACACCCCTTGACCTCTAAGGGGCTATTAATGGACACTCTTTCCGTGGTGCTGGTATAAGTCTAAGTATGTCTAAGTGGATTCGTTTTTGGTGGGCACCCCTCACCATGTCCACAGCTCGGCTAGGGACATTGACCAATGGTCGCGCGCCCACCCCATGCCGTCGGCCTGGCCCTCGGGCACCTGCGAAGAGGCCGGTAGCTTTCGAGTCAGTCCAACCGAATCGGAGCAGAGCGGCACAGCCCGCTCTGCCATGGGCATATGTCTGTCTTTATGTAATGTATATGGACGTTTGGGCAAATGGATGCATCATGTTTCACGAGGCATTTTCAGACGCAGTAAATATCTGTCCCATACTCCAAGTGTTTCCTGATGGAGTGAGCCCAAAGAAAAACGAAAGGAAACTGGAGCTTTTTACTGGAGAAACTGCAGGATTCAAGCTTGCTTCTTGTAAGACCTTATAAGTTCTAGCATGTTCCAGCACTTCAGCCGCATCCTCCGCGTTCGTCCCATCGAAGTCTCACCCTCGGATGTCCCATCCATGTGCCAGGCGGCACGCAAACCCCTTCAAGACCAGTCTGACCACGTAAAACCTGATCCTTTACCTTCTTTTATACCTCCTTGCGTATTGTCTGATCCTTTTTTGCATGACCAACTCCAGCACATTGAGGTCAAACTGACCTGTAGGGCACACCTCTCCCTGGAGCCATCCACAGCTCTCGGCTCTCGGCTCTCGAGTGGGAGGATGGTGCCTTACTGCTGCGGCTGGCAGCCGGCGCTGCTGCAATGCCTCAGCAGCAAGCGCGGAAAGGATGATAAGAGACAAGACACCAATGGGTTTAATGGGTTTTACCATGTTTTGCCGAACTGCCATTGTCACTAACAGTTTTATAACTACAAACCAAATATCGGTTCTTGAAGGCTAGAGATACGTGTTTCAAGCGATTCACGTTCTACCTGGGGCTCACCATAATAATTTAGGAACTGACCCGGCGTATCGCTCACGGAGGCGCTCGCATGCCGGTGCCCGGCCATGGCCAGAAACTGGAGCCCAGAGTGTCCTTCAACAAGTAACCGAAACATCTTCCGTGTCTTCGCGTGGCACATTCTCAACGAATGAATCACCGGCGCCTCTGCGGCAAGAGGGCAACCGCCTCTAGTGCCTGCAAAAAACCACCAAATCCGCACCTTGACCTACCCCAAGTTTCTATAGGTACCTAGCACTTCCAATGGGTGCCCTGTCTGGAGACCTGTAAGCAGGGTAGAGTAGTCTATTGGACACCCAAACAGGGTGATCCTGGTATATATATATATATGATCTTTTCGCACTCTGTACCTCCAATCCCCTCAACCCACCGGACCCCGGAGCACTCCACCGGCCCCCGGAGGCTGTGCTCCCGTGGAACCCGCACTCACCGACGTGGTCGCCTGGGCGGACTTGGACCCAAACTGCGGAGCAAACACCGAGGGACCGAGTGGAGTTCCAGGAACTGGGCGCCCAACTGGGAGGGGTTACAAAATCATGCCAAAATCGATCCCCAAATCTCAAAATCTCACCTGGAAGTGGCCCCCACCGCCCCCTTTTTTTGGGCCACGGGTGTCATATACCTCGGGTCTCATCCAAAGGAACATCGGTCGGACTCAAAACCACACACCTGGGACCAGCCGATCGGTAAGGAATCGACCAATTGGATGGCTGAAAGAACACCGTTGGATTGGGTGGGTGCGGAGTTCGCCTATGGCCTCCGGGGGGCCCAGAGGGCCAAAGCGACTGTTGGGTGCATTCTTCGATCTGCGTGCATCTGCGGAGTTCGAGACGCTGGCGGCGGGGTCAGCCGCCGACGTTGAACCGATTCTCACAGTCTGAGGGTGCTGGGGCATCCGGCAAGCTTGATCTGCACCCCGTGCCTGACCCAAAACCGCCCGATGGGCAAAGTTGAAGTCAGTGGCAGAACGTGAGGAACTTCCAACTGCCGAACAACTCAGGCCCAACAGGAGTCACCTCTGTGTGTGTGTGTGTGTGTGGGGGGGGGGGGGGTGATCTTGAAGTTTTTATTGTATAAGAGCCCAAGAATCGCACATCACATGGCACCTAGATCTGGCTTTCTCCTTCAGCTCTTTCTTCCGATGCTCCTGACACCATGTCTGCTCGCTGCTTCACATTTCCTCCCCAGGTCTGGTCCCGCCATTGCTGGGTCCAACGAAGTGCCAGTATTCCTGGGAATACATTGTAGGCTGGTGCTACATGTTGCTACATTGCCCCGGTCCAGATCCGCTTCGAGAGCACCCTTTCGCCACGTTCACCTTCTCTCCATGGATACTGTGGCCAACAAGGATAACAAGGCCCCAGGGACTGGTTCTTCAGGGATCTTAGGGGGATGCTCTGTCTTTCTCAAATCTTAACCAGACACAGCATTCTGTCTTGAGCATAGAAAGCACCAAAGCACGATGGGATCTCTAAGTCCTTGTATCGGTCTTGGGCGCTCATCCTTGACTATCCTTGACCCATCTCCTCATCGTCATCTTCATCGTCTGCCATGGCAAAAGCCTCGTTTGACGGCTTTCGGCCACGCACGTTGGACCGGTGCAGTGCTGGCGTCCGACCTGAACGACTCTTCAGGGTCAAGCGGAGACGTCTGAGGAAGCCTCCCTCCCATTGGCGGGGAACGAGTTCCAGAGCGTTTCTGGACTCGGTGTTGTTTACGAGGGATCGCCGCACGGAACCCGTGAGTCTTCGGTAAAGGGAAGAAAGGCCTGTGCCGTCGACCGCCGCACGTCTTTTTGGGTCCCCCTTAGTACGCCTCCTCCCTACCGCGGTTTTCCGCGTCTTCTTGCAGGTCTTGGAGGCCGAATCTCTCTCCAGCTGAGCAACTCCTTTCAGCTTCTGCTGGCGAGCGGCCTGTGGCATGTCTGACCAACACAAATGACAGTCTGAGAGGTGAGGAAACAAGCACCGTCTGTCGCTTGGCATCATTTTGGAACACAGACACAAATCCGCAAGGATGTTCTCTGTTTGGACAAAACATTTACGTCTACACACCCACGACAAGAGCAGCTGTGACAGGGGTGTTGCTCTGAGAGCAAGTCCGATTTCATGGCAGCAGGTGGCGGATCAACCGCGGTGCGAGACTGGGAGTTGGGGCGCTCAAATCCCCCCCAAAGAGCAAACAAACCGTGAAAAAAAAACACACACATCCTTTGGGTTTTGGGTGTGGGCGCGGATTCCTAGTGATCAAGTGATCAAGAACCGTCCCTTCGGTGGAGCCCCCAGTGATGGGTCGCCTTTCGGCCCGACCTCTTGCCAACCCCGGCCCTCCGGATCCACTGCGCGACCCAGTCGACCCGGTCGACCCGGCCCCACCGCGGGCGGACCGCTCGCCTTCCGCTCCTCTTCTTGTCGCTTCTGCTCCTCCCGCGCGCGGCGCTCCTCGGCCTTGGGAGGTGAAGAACGGACCCGTCGTGATGGAACACTCGCTGTGGATGGGGTTGGAAGGAAGCAAAGGTTAAAGAGTACGTTTTTTCAAGGACCGGGTCAGGGGATCAAAAAGGATTCCAATCTGCTCATTCTTGACCTTGTGGCCTTGTATGGCCTTGTGGTTGTTGATTATGACCATGATTATGGCCAATTCTAGAATATAACATAATATAACAAAACCTCTCGCAAATTGATTGAGGAGAATCATGGAGAATCTTGCTTTATACTTGTTCTACCTTGTCCACATAAGGCACAAGAAACAAACACTTCGTAGTATGGAACCAGTTGGTTGGTTCTTTTAACAGCCGCTTGATAACAGACCTGGAGCAGGAAGGATGTCTTCGGCGAAGACTTCTGGAGTCCTTTTGATCTAAGCCACTGAGGCCTCGACCCACTTGGCCTCCTGCTCTTGCCACCGCCGGCCTCGGGACCAACGGCGTCCGTTCGGTTGGACCGGGATTCGACCCTGCGCACGGACTGACCTTGTAGGGTGACCTTGTAGGGAAGCCCAAATCCCCCGAAACAGGTTTAAGCTTTTAAGATCTTTTAAGGTGATCGACTCTTCCTGGGTAGGGTGTGGTTCAACTGGAGTCCTCTCCACCACCAAACCCCGCGTTCCCCACTCAGCGTCCGGACGGGCTTCCTCTTCCTCGGCCTCCCGCCGCCGCCGCTCCTCCGCATCCTTCTGCGCCTTTAAGGCTTTTTGCTCGGCCTCCCGCTTCTCCCGACCTTGACGTGGCGAAAGACAGGAACCACCCAAAGCCGGTGGGCTCCTGAGATATATCCTAGGCCCTAGGCTATAATGATGCCCCCCCTTGTCTCGCTCGACCCATCTGGTCTCACCACGCAACAGCGTCTCAGATCCCCAGCTCTTCCGCTCCTGGGAGCTTTCCCTCTTCTCCTCGCCGGCGCGGCAGACGGCACCGCCGAGCCGTGAAAGAAGCCGCGGAGCCGAGCCGAGTCACGTTGGGAGCTCGTAGGAGAGCAAGGGCCCAACCCTCCCCGAAGAAAGTGGGGAGAAGAAACTGGAGACCCGAAGCGGCTTCGTGGGGAGAAGATGGAAATCCGACTTACTTGTGGCTGTTCCGCAGGTCCGTCATCCTGCGAAGAGTTAAAAACTCGAAGGGGATCCACACATACCAGCACTTAGTTAGGTGCTTGATGGAGGATGGGGGATCTACGCGTCACAGCCACAGCCATGCGGATGGACTCCACACTGATTTGGCATGATTGCTGATAGGCCCGGCCCCTAAATTAGCGCGGCCGCGATCCACTTGGATCTCATCATTCCAGAGATTCCCAGGGTCTCCTTCTCCTTCTCCTTGTCCTTCTCCTTGTCCTTGTCCTTCTCCTTCCTCTCTCTCGGGCTGGGCGACCGAGATCTGGCTGTTGGGATCACGGACAGGCGCAAGTGACGTGGCAGAGGGCTAAGGAGATACAGTACCTCCTACACCAAAAAAATAAACGAAAAACAAAACTTATTAAATATACTCAATGGGGTAAAAGGACCAGGTCATACTGGATCTTTGGACTTGTAGGGGTAGAAGTCGTTCTCAGCATCATGGAGTAGATCGAAATGGAGCAAATCCAACAAATAACAGCAGACCAGGAGTCGCAAAGGGGTTGTTTTTAGTCCCTAAGTGAGTGGATAATGGGCACCCTAAACCATGGATAGCACCCCTTAGTTTGAAGTTTGAAGTGCTTGAAGTAGAATGGGCTTTGATGGACAAGTACGAGCAACACTGAGTCTGAGAAGCTGTATTCCGGAACTGAGGGAGAGGTCTTGATCAAGATCTTCAAGCTGCTCTTCCATCGGCAGTGCCACATCCCCCCCTCAACGACATCATGTGGAAACCAGGAAGGGTTTGTTGAGGAAAGTGTGGAGAGTAGCCGTCCGGGGCACCATGATTTTGGAGTGCCCAAGAAATAAGCAGGCCCTGCCAACCCACGATCACTCATCCAGCTGCATCCCTGTTGAAGAAATAAGCAGAACACGATCAACACAAAGGGAAAACGCAGAATTGACGTGCAAACAAGTCAGTTTGTGAAAGTTCATCAGTTTCTCTTTTAAAAAAACACGTCTACCTGCAGTCACAAAGGGGTGCTTAATGGAGGTTAGGGGTCCATCATCCACTCACTTAGGGACTAAACACCACCCCTTTGTGACTGCTGGTGCAATCATGTCTCAAATGCCCTAGAACATGAGGCAAAGTAGGGCCCTTACAGCCCTAAGGTTCCGCATTGTCTTGCGTAGACCCCAGACGATGGAAACATGTAGAAACCATGTACATATTTGGACGTACTGTGTTTCGTCACTGCGGTGTCTTTCTATTTTTGCACTGGTGGTTTGTGATTTTCTCAGAACCGACCGGGCGGCCGCCTCCGGCGACTTCGTTGGAGCCTCGGGGCGCACGGGCGAAAGCGGCGTCCAGACTGCAGACCACGTTCCGGACCCTCCGAAAAACGCCTCCTTAGAACCGAACATTGGGGGTCAAACCTTGGGCCACTCTGTGTTCTTAAGTTCTTGGCCCCCTTGTCCAGTCAGTGTGAGAACGGGTCAACATCTCCAACCTAAGAACCTGGGGCGACACGGGACGGGGCGACATGTCACGCAGGTCACGCAGGCGCGGTGCGACTCCAGTCACATCACGGGACCGCGCAACGAACGGAGTTGGACTCTGGGTTGGGGCTCTCAATTCCACGCACGGAACAGATATGATGGACGGACCCAGCTGAAGATGCTTAAGGGGAAAAGCTGCACTGAATAAACCATCTACGGTAAACATTACAAACCAAAGAAACCTCAAGTCGGTAACAGTATGGTTTCAGGAACCATATCTGCATGAATCACCATGGAACCAAACAGGAAGAGCAAGTATCGCGAGTTCAAGCAGGTACGGTTTCACACCCACCCACCACTGCTCAACACATGCACACATGATCACACATACACACTAGAGTCACTAGAACCTCAAGTTCAATGAGTTCACAATATTGTATGTTATACAGTGTTCAATTGGGCTATAAGAACCTCAAGTTCACCCACTGCTCCACTGCTGGACGCAGAACATGAGGAAAAAAAACAAAAACATGAAAACGTCGCAGAGTCGCCCCTCAAAAGGAACCTCCAAACATCAAACATCCAATGCCCGCGGGCTCCAGGAGCCTCTCCTGGAGTCCTTCCGCTGCGCCTCCTGCTGCTCCCCGGCTCTTCCGCAACCTCCGCCCCCGGGCCCCCCGGCTGCTTCGCAGCCTTCACGCGGGCGATCTCCGCCCGGCGCTGCGCCTCCGCAGCGGCTTCCGCCTCCTCGGAGGAAACCGGGGATGGAGGGGATGGAGGGGATGAACATAGATATTTAAACACATGAGAGGCCGAAAATCACTCAAGAAGTAGAACCTATAGGCTATAGGGCATACTGATAATAAATCGTTGGAACATACAAGAGGCAGATGGACATTTATGATGGTATGCTGATATACGTAGTCTGAATTTCTAGCGTGATGGCAGGTGCTGCATACATGAGAAGGGGGTCGTCACCCGAGTTGATTGCAATTGTGGACCCTCTGACAACCTGTGAAAACCGTTCGGCTGGCTTTTGTGCTCTCCGCTGATGCCGACGGCTTGCTGGCATCCTTGTACGGATGGTTTCGAATTCCTCCATCGTCGATCACTTGAGATTCCAAGTGAACATGGTAGCTGTCGCCACCCCAGTGTGGATTTCCCCATGTGACCAACGCGCCATCAGCCAGGGCGGCAAAGGCTGCACGTGCAGCTTGGATCTGTTGAACGTTCTTCAGCTTCTGTTGTACATGTCGGCTGTCGCCGCCCCACTCTGGGTGTCCCCAAGTCACCACCTTTCCTCAAAGACATCGAAGAAAGACATGAGAAGGAACAGTAAAATCAATATGACATATCAGTGGTCAGTGGTACCTACACAAGTTTCGTACCTTGATGTTGCTTTTTAAATCTCAGCTGTCGGTGACCCGTTTTGCTGTTAGCATCATGAGTGATCGTGTGAAGCGCCATCGGCGAAACACTCCGGATGCGGCAAAATATCCGGCCTCTCTGTGAACCAGAAAAATGAATCACCTTACTTTAGGCCCAAGTACTTTGGAATATGAGAAGAAAACTTCACAAAGCACCTACAAAGATTGAACCAAAAAAACAAACCGAGGGTCCATTCCCAAGGACTGCAGCAAAGGCCAGTGCAGACGCATGGATTTGCTGCACATCTTTCAGCTGTTCTTGTACATGGCTGCTATCACCACCTGAGGGATCTTCAGGGTCTCTATACATGGATGCTGCCTGCTTACGAAGTATAGGTCTACCGCGGGGTGGTCCCGAACACTCACACTCATGGGGAGAAAAAAAAAAACTCCTCCGCAATCGACAGAAACACGGGTCACTTTTGGAAAACCGGAACCCGCGCCTCACCGAAACATCCCAAAACCCAAAAAGAAAGCAGAGAGACATCGGGTCACTCTGCTACCCCGAAAATCGGGCATCGCACCTCCTTCTGGGTCGCCCCACGTCACCACCGTCCCATCCGCCCGCACCGCTGCGAAGGCGTAGTCTGAAGGCACCACGGTCTCGACGTCGGCGAGGCCGACGGGGCATGACGCGTCGAGCGCCGTGAGGTCATGGCCCCAGGTGACCACGGTGCCGCTGCGGCGTAGCGCACAAAAGCTGTTGCGCGTGCCCACGATGAGCTTGAGCGGTTCTTCCCGCAAGGCGGCTGAGACGCTGCGGCTGTCACCTGGGGTCAAACCCGCCACTGGGTGCGAGGGTTGCGAGGGGGGCTGGCGCCAGTGCAGTTCAACAATAATACGACCTTGGACAGATGTGTTTGTTGGGCACGTTCTTATCTCACCCTCTCACCCTCTCCTGCACTCCATGTCACGAAAGAAATGCAACATCTTGCTTCTCCATGCCACAGAATGCTTCCCCCACCCCGCCTCCATACTCCATCTTCCCCCAGGTCACCACCTCCCCGTCCCGGCGGATCGCCGCGAACGCCGCGCCCGCCGCGCCCAGCGCCACCACGGGCTCCGCCGCG